TACACAATCGAGCATTTGTATTGAACACATGCAAAATTCTAATAACTTCTGAAACTTTGCTTTTCATTCAATGTAATTAAAAATTATGAATTAAAATATTAAACATAAAAAAACCAAATGAATATATGAATGGCTAATCAATCAATTTTCTTAAGAAGTGCCAGTACATCACAACTCAACAATGGTAGTAAAACAAAAAAAAAACAATCTAGTTACATTTTCTGGTCCAAATTATCTCCCAAACTGTGACCATAGACCTCTGAATCACTCTGCATAATGTGATCAGTTCTGTTAACAGTTCATTCTTATTTGATTGAATAGAAGAGCAGGGATAGTGAAATACAAAACATAGTAAGGTTTTCGTTTGGAAAATTTGTGTACTTCAGTCTAGAACAAATATCTTTCTGCTCATATTTTTCACACTGTGTTCTAAGACCTCCAATTATTCATCAGATTATTTCTATCCATTATCTGAGCTACAAGGTAAAGTTGCCCTTGTGCCTAAGTAATTAAGCACTACGCCATGAAGGCACATGGTAGGTGGATGTATAGATCCACATTTTCTTGACCTCGGCACTAGTTTGAGGCGAGTGGTCAGCTTCATGCCCCTGCCATTTACCCCCCAGAGAAAGAGCCCCAGTACCCATAGGATATGAGGTTGGGTGGACCACAGAGCTGGTCTGGACAATGTGGGAAGAGAAATTTCTTGACCTTACCAGGACTCAAACCCTGAAACCTCAGTCATCCAGCCCATAGACAGCCACTACACCAACTTCACTATCTGGCTCCTATCTGAACTACAGGGCATCATTAAATCCTGAAACACCTCTCAGCCTATGAGGGATTTTCTTACTGTTTAATGTACTGAAATGAACTTCCTGTCATATGGTCATGTGGTTCTCACTTAGAGCATCTATTACAAGGAACACAAACTAGTGAGGCCAGCATATTTATTACATGACCATTAACTAGATCCATGAGAAGCTCATCTGTGAACAAGGAGTGCTCACAGTCGCCGAGATGAGATACTTACTTTGCAACATTGAGTCCACGAAAAAACTTGGCAATATCTTGGTCTGAGGATTGCCAAGGAAGACCTCTTGCACGAACAACACAACTGTTGTCTACCTCCTCATTTTTTGAGCTGAAAAAAAACAAAATATGTCAAATTATTTGTAAATGTTTCCTTGAAAACTCTAAAATGCTAAAGAAAATACTCTGATCTAAGAAGAATGAAGTAAATGAGTAATTTATGATATTATACAATGAATATTTTGCCACTGCTACACCTGACACAATATTATTCAGGGAGTGAAATCAAAGTTACAGTGGATTGAGCATTCACTTGAATGTATTAAACAAGCAACATACATGAAGAGTGATTCAGGAAACCTATTTTACATATGGAAGCAAAGTTCAAGAATGAGAGAGATATGACACTAACTACAAATCATGAGACTTTTTAGGTATTTTAATTCAATGAATATGGACTGATGATGGCATTGACACTTTTCACAGGTACCAGCATTTTACAAAATTTGCTAGACTGCTATCAAAGTTTTAATATTCATGGCAACTGACAATGGGCACAACAGTAGCTCACATTTATTTAAAATTATGCATTTTCATGGAATAACCATTACAGAATATGCTGAAAGACTTGTAGTAAACAAGTTTTATGAGCTTGTATTGGTCAGTTTTATATATAAGTTCTGGGAAGAAGTTCAAATGTTTACTATCCTTTCTAAGAATCAGCCTGTGTTACAAGGGTAGTGGAATAACATGTTATATTCTTAGGTGTTCAGGCAAGAAAATGTGCATCAAATGCCTTAATTGAATCAGTTAAGGTACAATCATCCCTGTGCTTAATCAATTAAACAACATGCCATGAAGAGGAATGGGAGAGTGGCAATATAGCTTCAGTATTCTTAACCTCAGCACTAGATAGAGGTGAGTAGTCAGCTTCATGTCCCTGCTAAATTGCTCCAGGATAGGAGCCACCAATACGACTGTATAGGGGGATGGGTTGGCCCCGAAGGTGGTCAGGGCATGTGGACTGGAGAAGATTGTCTTACACCACTAAGAGGAAACAAAATCTGAATCCTCAGTCATTGTGCCCATAGAATGGTCACTATATTGACTGATTTGTCTTAGTTCCTAACTGTTGATTACAGTAACGACATGTCAGACAACCTTTGATAAAAATTTGATAGCAAACCAAGAAATGTTCTGCTCTTGCTGCAAGCAGTACTACAGGCTCTTGTTCACAGAAGCCTGCCATTTAACCCCAAGCTGAGGCATTTGAATGCAGTTCACCTCTTCATGCCAAAAGCACTCTTTGGCAAGACAAGGCAAGGCAAGTAATTGTGTCCATGTGCCTGAGCTCCATGTTCTAAATGTGTATAGGAGGTGCAGAGGTAAAGCTCAACTCTTTCTTAACCTCAACACTATATGAATATGATTGAACAGGTTCAAGTTCTGGGCATTTTACCCTAGGAGAAAGAAGGCTCATTACTCATTGCAGAGGAGGCTCATGCTGTCCCGATATTGACAGAAACCCTGACTTTGCTGAGAACTTAACTAAGGTAGTTCAGCCTATAGGTAGTAACTATATTGCTTGAGCTATGCAAACTCACAACATATCTGTGCCACCACTAGGACTGCCGTTCTCATTCTCGAGGTTTTCAATAGCAATAAGCTATTTATTTGAATTAGAGGACAAAATCTTCAGAACGTTATGGTATCATGCCAGACGCTTAGCACGTAACACAACTGAGATTGAGAGTCTGTGACTGATTAATTCTCAGTTTAATTAACGCATATGTTGGGATGATTGTGAATGACTGATTCTACTGAATATTGAAGGCCACGTCCGTTTGGACGCGGCCTATTTTAAAATAGTCTACTTTGCCAGCGGCCACTTGGGAGAACTGGCGAAAACCTCGTTAGGATAAGCCGGTTGCGCGGCCGAGAAACGATAACTCAGCAAAGCAGTAATTCTTATAAATATGACACCATTCAGTCATTAACGGCTTCTATGCGGAATCAACATGGCCAGGAACGCCGTGACGTTGAAACAAAACGTACGAAAGTCGAGTGAAACTTCGCAAGCCACGGCGAACTGTTCAGTCAGAACGCGTTCTTTGGTACCGCCTGAAGAAACCCTATTTTTTAAATTTTAATGTCCATTTGTAGGGAGATCCCGTCGACACGACACATTCACCATTTTGAATACCGAACATGGACGAAATCTAACTCTTCAGGCGCTGGTGAGGGGCGCATACATACATACATACTCGTACATACATATATACGAGATTTCAAAATGATGGACCCGAATTGAAATTGCTATATATCTGCAACAGCGAACCGCCCATGAATGAAACTCTTACCATTTGAAAGGGTGGGGGATCGAGTTAAAAAAAAATACCGCCAGATGCCTCTCCCAGCACATTTCCTAAATGCATCACTGCCTCAACATTGCACAGGGCGCATGGGGTCCCAAGACTTGCCACTTCAGTTCTGGCCCCACAGATCTCCAGTCATTATATACCCTGCTACTTTTTCTTGTGGGCATACGTCAATGACCGTGTTTTTGTGCCACCTTTAGCGACTAACCTGGATGACCTCAAAAACAGAATAACGGCTGCGGTGACTTCAGTGGAAGAAGACACTTTGAGAGGCGTTTGGGATGAATTCAGCTGTTGTATCGACGTCCGTGCAGCAGGTACATAGAGCACTTATATAAAAAGTTAACGAAACTTAATAACTTGTTAGACCATTTGTAAGCCCCGCCACAGCTCAAGCGGTTAGTCGCTGGCTTCCCACCGCGGCGGCCCGGGTTCGATCACGGGTCTGGTCAAGTGGGATTAGTGGTGGATAAAGTGGCGCTGGGGCAGGTTTTCTCCGAGTACTTCGGTTTCCCTTGCCAATCTTCATTTTACCAATTGCTCCACAGTCACCCTCACATATCATCTGGGGCTGGTACAATAGGCCAGAAGTGGCCGCAGTACAAGGGGCTTAGTACCGCCCCACTAGCAATAATAAAATAGATCATTTGTGACATTTCCCGTAAATGTAGCATGTTGCCATCGTTAAATATACGGCTTTGAAATTTGGTCCATCATTTTGAAATATGGTGTATACAGCTTTAAAAAACGTTTTTTCGTTTTCTCATACATAATACGTTTTTTGTATTCAGAGGTGCTGAAAACGTGTAAATCCGTCAAAATCTCGACATAGATTTTCTTTTTACCATTACCACAATTTCTTCGTGCATTGCGTATGTGAGAAAGCGAAACTGGTACAAAAACACTGCACATACTTTCTCATATACAACCCAAATATAATTATGTTTTCTTGCTCATGAAACTGAGTACTGTTCAGTAGGCCCCTGCTGATTGCTGAGCTCCAAACAATAAGTCGTCTGGCCGGTAAACGTTTTGAGAAAGTTGACATTTCTCCCTTGGGCCCTATCGCGCTTGTCATTACTTTCCCGAAGGTATCACATATCCATAGCTCTGTATGGGGCTGAAACAGGGACACTTAGGGCAGCAGATCAGAAACATTTGGAAAGTTTCGAAATGTGGTGTTGGAGAAGGATGGAGAAGATCAGTTGGACCGATTATGTGAGAAATGAAGAAGTGTTAATTAGAGTCAGTGAGCAGAGGAATATCCTACACGAAATAAGAAAACGGAAGGCTAATTGGATTGGTCATATTTACGCAGAAACTGCCTTCTAAAAGAAGTTATTGAAGGAAAGATAGAGGAGCGGATAGAAGTGACCAGAAAACGTAAGAAGATGCTGCATGACCTTGGGGACAGAAGAGGATACTGTCATTTGAAGGAGAAAGCTCTAGATCGCATTAAATGGAGGAATTGTTTTGGAAGAGACTGTGGACCTGTCGTCTTGACAGATTACTGATGATAATGATCATCGTATATCCAGTTTTATTTATGGATACGATTTTCGTAACTTACCGAAATCTAATCAAAGTCGTTGGAACAGTTTTCGAGGAAACCTGCGTTTTGTGGTTGGGGACCCAAGAGAACGGCCCCTGTGTTTATAGCTGGAATGTTCATGTTCACTGGGAATCGGCCTATGATGGAGAAACTCTTGAATGCCGAATATGAATAAAATCCTTCAACCGTTCAGACGCTAGACGTACGTCCGTCCATCAGTCCGCCCCTTCCCATCCACTCATTTAATTCATCCCACTCTTCCGTTTGTCCGTCCGTCCATTACATTCAGAGACTGACAGCCAACAGAGTAAATAAAAATTTTAGTAACCAGGGGAACTGAAAATGTGTAAATTCATCAAACTCTCGAAATATGTTTTTTTTTCTAACACAATACTTTCTTGTGTAGACTCCTTACATGAGAAAGTAAAATGAGTACAAAAACGTTGCACATACTTTCACATACACGCTTGACGAATTACGGTCTCATACTTTTCTACAACAAATATTTCAGAAAAAAAATATCCATTTCGAATATAACAGTTTCTACATGATAAAAATATTAAAAATGGCGAAGTGTAATAAAAATCGTTAGCGCTAATTCTGAAATATTTTGTGACGATGTAGCGCATGCGCGCAGCAGATCAGCCATGGCGGTATGCTGAATTGGTCACCGGCCTCGACGGATCTCAGCGCCGCAGATTAACGTGTACGAGGTCACACGTAAAACACGGTGTATGAGGCAAGGTGCATACAGGTTCGGCGGATTTTTTATCCCACAAGACACGTTAATAATATTGCGGCTCTTGAGTTTATACGTTCCCTAACGAAAAGAACCGGGCTGTACATTCAGGCTGGCGGCAGACATTTTGAACACTCACTTAAGCTACGTAAACTGTACAATACAATCATTGTATCTTTTTTACAATAACAGTTGTTTTTTTTTTTTGATAACAAATTATTTCACACAAAACTACATTTTGAACACCAATAACTCCGAAACTGTCGAGAATAAATCCCATGCCCAAACGACATTTTTCACTCACATATGCTCACACTTACCCAGTGTTTAAAGGTCAATCCAGAATTTTCGTCGTACCAGTCTGATCCCAGCTCAAAAACACAATCACAAACCACACACGCACAATTCAGTATTCTTTAAACCAACATATTTCAGGCAGATAG